TTTTCTTGTTTTTTTTTCCTCCTCTTGTTCCCGAAAACATTATCTACGAAACTAATAAGCATAAGAAAAACACAAACAGAGGTTCATGGAAAATTTATAATGAAACCGTGCCAACGTCTAAATTTAGAATCCTTGGTCAAGACGTATCGCGTGTAAAATTAATATTTTCATGTCTTCGGGTCGACCCGTTAATCTGTGGTTGGTGTTTATTTTTAGATACTGGTCGGCAAGATACATATATTTTATGAACAGTTGGTTACAAACGATGACAGTTAGTTACTGTTGATAGAAATAAGGTACACAACAAAAACAGTTTTCGCCAGGGCTTTATTTACCTCTGCGAGAAATTAATTCTTCGTTATTTAAATTGTGTTTCCCCACTGTAGAAATTTTATAAGACCACAGACACCATCTTTTATTAATTCCTTGATGATTAAAACATCTTTTTTTTTTCTTTCTCTCTCCCTAAACTCCCCTTTTGTCACAGCGTTACTAGCAGAAGAGAACTGTCAGAAGTTTAGGATCCCTTTTATCAGAACCATCACGTGACTTTAGGAGGACCCCATGCTCCTTTTCGGTTTTGTGCCTCCTGTATTCAAAGTTGATAGCTTACATTTGGTTCCATTTCACAACTTTGAGCCCCTAAAATATTCGAGGCCTCATGCAGCCGCAGGGGTTGCAGTGCCCACCATACGACTGCTCTGTTCTTTATTTACAACAGCACATCGATTGGACCCCAGTGATCCTTTGGGATTCTTTAGCCACAGACCAATTTAGCATTAGCCATTACCCACACTTTAAAGTGGGGTTTCGTGTGGTCATATTGTCAATATAAATGTAGAACATGTTTGCTTCAGTTAACACTTCACTATTCCAAGCACCTGTGATTAAGGACATCCGCCTAGTTAATCCCAATGAAAATTATTTACAAAATGGCTAGGCTTTAATCTAGATTTCGTTCTCAATGTTAAAATAAAACTTTGAACTGTGAACCGGAACGCAAGAGTTTAATTCTTCGAATTTTTTATTTTTAAATTAAAACAAAAAAATGAAAATTATCCTCCCACACTAGCCAAGATCTAGATACATGTAGATCAACAATTCTCACACTATAATGGTACATGTACCAATACCACTGTTCTAAAGTGAAAGTGATGTAACAAGTTGAAATCCGGAAATCTCATAGTGGAACTGTATTTAAATAAATAAATAAATTACATATGTAATACGAGGTACATATCCAAAAATTTGAGAGTCCCCCCTGGTCACAATCACTGCTCACTGAAAGTGCTACCGAAGCCGCTACTACACGTTTATCTTTCGGATGACACGGGAATGCAGATTACACAACATGAACAGGATCAGCATTCATGTTCGGAGCATTGACCTCCTCCTGCCTCACGACTGTAACCTACATTCGGTGTTTCATTTCCAAGTATACAATAACAGGTTTCGCTTCACGTCCGGTTTGATGACGTCACTGGGAAGTGTTCATTGTAAAGTTGTAAGCCCTGAGAATGTTTTTTTGGAGACTCACATTTAGCACGATGCGTGACGTCCGTCTGTGACTTTAAGATGTACCAGTCGCCGCTGCCACCATATTTCCCCACTTCCTTGATCTGTTTAAGTGGTCATACTGCTAACGTAGATAAATGTGTTTTTGTGTTTAAAATATGAGCCGCTATTGATTGTAAGAAGAACAATTTAAAAAAACAACAACAACACAAACAACAACTGATATTGTTGCTGTCGGCATTGCACTATGTAATTAGCAACAGGCAGTGAAAACTGGAAGAACTGTGTGAGGGATGACCGGGGGGGGGGGTCATCAATGTGAAGTATAAAATATCCCCCATTGCGCTTAGGGGCCTTGAAATAACACTAAGCATTGGGTCTCAAAGCAGGGACGTCATTTCCGTTTTTTTTTTTTTTTTAAGGGCGGGGGGGGGGG